CCCCAAAACCCCAAAACCCCAAAACCCCAAAACCCCAAAACCCCAGAGATAGAAGATAAAATTGGGATGTATATTTATATATTTATTTCATTAAGAAACATGCTTAACAAGGCTAGAATGAAGTTTGTCGGGGTTGTCGAGAAATGAAGTAAGTTCACTGCTAATCTTGAGGCTATAGAACGCCTATAACGTTCAAGTCAGTGCCCAAAGTCAGGTGCATCAGTTTCATCAACGGAACTTTTGTAATTGGCTTGGCTATCATGTTGGCAATATACGGAGGTATCTTGTCTAAATAAATTGATTGGACGCAATGAATGGAAATTCAACCAGAACATTAAGAAGACCAGCCTCAAAGAAGATCCTAATCCAACTAATATTACTGAGTATGACGGAATAGAATTTAAAATTTCATATGTGAATGATGTAACAGATTTTCCTGTACCTCTAGAAGACGTCCTTTGGGTTATAGACCATTTTGTGGACTACATTGAAGTAAACACGACTGGAGAGTATTACCTTGAAAGAGCCAGACCTACTGAATGCTCTGAGTCAATTAAAGATATTGTTACCGGAGAGATATTATGGGAAGGATGATTCACTCTTAATAACAAAGAGTTGGCAGGATCTTTCAATGGAGATGCTATGATAAAAACCATAGCGATGATGAATTCAATCTGTTTTACAAAAACCAATCATTTGTGAGATAATAGATATTTATTAAATCAGGCACTAGTATCTATAAAATCTGTCATCTCTGTGAAATCTAAGTACGTAGATCTAAACGATTTTGATAACCCAATCAAAGAATACACGGAAACTTTGTTTGATATTCCATTTCACCCGTTTACTTTTAACTATGGAAGTATCTTTATTGAGAAGCAGGAGGTAACTTTAGATGATTCTATATTCTCTCCATTCTTTGAACCTAAACAGATTAAGTTTAGCAAAGTTGCTAACAGAGAAAAGCACCAAATCTTCAGTAGAGTTTTGGACGTATTAGAGGGGTATCCAATCTTAGGATATCGTATGTTGATAAGGCTAAGTGATGAAACTGTTCAATACTCAAGACAGGCATTCACTTTTCTTGAGTTAACTGGAACACTAGGAGGAATTTTCGAAGTCTGTAAAGTTTCTCTTTCTTTCTTGTTTGGACTAGCTTACTCATACTTCTCTAAGAAATCACTAGCTAATGAAATTAAGAAGAACATGAGTATGATTGTGGAAACCCAAAAGGAACTCCAAGCTCTGAAGGAAAAGGTCCAGAACCCTTGACCACCATCACATAAAGAGGAGGAAAGCAAAGTCATAAACATCAATCAAGAGGAGGAAAAAGTAGAAGATAATAAAGAGGAAGAGCTTCTTGTTCCACCTCAAATAAAAGAGTTCAGAAATAATAGCATGTCTATCAAAATGATTGAAGAAAGGAAAAGACAGCATTTTGAAATTGAACCAACCATACAGAGGTCCAAGTCAAATCATTTAGCTAAGCATGATATTTCTGACCCAACAGGAATTGTGGCGATCAAATAGCCAAACTAAAGAGATCTTAAAGGAGTTTGAAGAGCAGACTGACTGTCTCAACATTTTATTCAGGATTCAATCATTAGAAGCCAAAGTTAGTTATCTCCTTTACAAAGATCCTGAGTATAATTCAAAATACTGGTAAGTCCTTCAAATAGTCATTTGGCAATAAAATCAGAGAGGATATTTTCATGAAAATTCCTAAAATTATTCATTTAAATTGCCACTCTCTTTTTCACTTAAATAAAAATATCGAAAATAAATAGCAAATCTTGTCAATTGTAATGGTCTTTTACAAACTATAAACTGTGAATAAAAGTATTTTCAAAGAAAGACTGAGGGAAATCATCTAAATTTTGTTTCTAACACACAAAAAAGCCTAGCATCTAAAAACTACACAAATAAACTAATTCTTCTGCTATTTCTTTGGTTTTCTCTCTTTTAATCCATCTCCATCATACTTGTTCTTTCGGCTCGAAATTCTCTCGTTTTTTATTACCTCACTATTCTAGTCAAACTCCTTCCCAGCCACCTTCCCAGCCATCTTTCCAGCCAATCCAATCTGCTAGCCTTCAAAAGATTCCGACCATGGCGCCTATCGATCCACCCAAGCTTAGCTTGAAGCGCTTGGTCCACAGACTCAGGAAGTATCAAGTTTATAATGAAGAAGAGTTTTTGTAGTTGAATTAATTGTCGGAAGGATGCTTGGGTTAGGTTTTGTGGGTTAAAATGAATTCGCAATCTTTGTTTGCTGCTATTTTGGAATATAAATTTAGAAGAAAGAAAGCTTTCTGTTTTGGAAAGTAAAAAATTAATAATAATTCCCTCAATAGAACCCTAGAAAGGCTCATAAAATTTAGAGAAGGAGCAAATGTTTAGTTTTAGCAAAATTTATCTGATGATCTTCGATCTTGGTCTTAGATTATAGAAAATGCAACTTTCAAGTGTAATTTTATGCTTTGAAGAGTAATTCAAAAACTTTGGGTGAAAATTTGTTAAGAAATTAAACTAATCATAGGGCTATAACAAAGAATTCCATTAAAAAGTCAGAGGATTAGAAATTTTACTCACAAAATCTTCCCTAGCCCCAAAAATCCTCTCCTCGCTTCCAATCCAAGCATTACTACCCAATACAATTGTAAGAGTCTGCTTAAGAGCAATTTTCCACAATTTCCTAATCCCCATCGACAATAAAAGCCTCTAAATATTAATTAACTATATTGGTTATAACCACGGGGTTTTGGGGTTTTGGGGTTTTGGGGTTTTGGG